ATACATAAGCATCCAAATAATAGTATGATAGAAGCTTGAGGATATCAACAAAACATTCTGCTTTGTAAACTGTGTATATGAATGAAAGGCATATTTTCTTTTCTTCGAATTTTAAGCATATTGAGTCACTGCTTAGAGGTCATTAGTTACCCCTTGTAAATGAACTGTTTTTTATAATCAGCTTCAAAACCTTGGAGGATCTTCATATTTTATCCTTCTTGGTATATCATTAGCAACCTTTGCTATACACTAGAATCACCTGGAGAATTTTTGAAATACTGATTTCTGGACCCCACTCCCAGAAATTCAATTTTATTTTATCTTAGAGGGAGGCCCTAGCATCAAAATTTTGTTTGTTTGTTTTGGCAGCTGGCCTATACGGGGAACCAAACCCTCGACCTTTGTGTTGTGGCCACGCTCTAACCAACTGAGCTAACTGGCCAGCCTTAATATTCTTTTAACAGTACCCATCTGATTTAAATGTGCAGCCAAGGTTGAGAACAACTGCATTATTTGATATCTTTTTTTGAAGTGAATAAAATGAAGTCTTAGTAAATAAATAATAGGACCAAAAGTTTATGGCTTTGATCTGTGCAGTCGGTGTTCAAATCTTTGAAACGCTAATGAAGCCTTTTTAGGATAACTGACAATGCATGTTTCTTAGTATTTTGATATTTCAGTTTAACAAGGGGCTCTAAGCTGTCTAGAACTAATACTTTATTAATTACCCCCTGATAGCCAAAGGTGAAGTTTATTATATGCTTTTCACAGGATAGCATAGTTATTAAAAGCACACGTTATAGTGAAGCTACTTAGCCTATCTGTGCTTCAGTTTCCTCATCTATGAAATGGAAATAGCAATAATAATGACCACACAGGTTGTTACAAAGATTAATCAAAGTAATACATGTGAAATCCTTAGAGCAGTGCCTGGCTCACATTAATTCCTGAATATGTGGGGAGGGTGGAGGAGGAGGGGAAAAAACTCATATAAGGGAACTTGAATATTGATAGTAATTCATTAAAAATTTATAGTTTTTCTCCATTTAGTTTTTTATTATTGTGTGTCTACTTACTTTTGTTTAATTAAAAGAAGGTGAGATCATGATACATATTAGGAATGAAGAGAGAAAATATAATGAACTTTTTTTTTCTTTTATAGAATCGACGGACTGTGGCTTCTGTTAAGAATGAGCCTCCTCCAAGAGATAATAGAGGTAAAGTAAAAATTTCCTTTTAAATTTTGCATATTGACTTCTTAGTATGGCCCTGACAAGGTAAATCAAGAGAACAAATATACCCTTGATGTAGTTATTTATTTAAACTTTACATGGCTAATTTTAAGATTGGTATCTTCTTGATTTCATAATACAATAATGTCAGTAATATTAAAAAATGAGTTTTAAAATGTATGTGATAAATATGAAATTATGAAATATGCAAATTTTTATTCATCTCATTTACTCAATAATTTTGCAGATTTGAGGAGAGTATTATGAGAAAGAAAGTAATGGGAAGGGCCGGCCCCTGGCTCACTTGGGGGAGTGTGGTGCTGATAACACCAAGGCCACGGGTTCGGATCCCTATATAGGGATGGCCGGTTAGCTCACTTGGGAGAGCATCATGCTGACATCACCAAGTCAAGGGTTAAGATTCCCTTACCCGTCATCTTTAAAAAAAATAAAGTAATGGGGAAGAAGTCAAATAATTGATTGATTTCACAAGGGTGAATTTAATCATCATGATGTTTACCATGATTTTCTGGCTAACAGGTTTCCAGAAAGGGTCATGTTAGTTTTAGAGCCAGCTAAAGAAAAGTTGAACCAGGCATAAATTATTAACTGCAGGTCTTCTATATATCTTCAGCCAGAAGATGAAAATCATAATTAATTTATTTTCTATTGTTTAGCAGTTCAGAATTGATCTAATAGTTATGTTTCTGTGTGGGTGGATGGTGAGGCAGGATGGGCCAAAGTGTTAGAGAAAGATTGGAGGTAAAGGGAAAGTCCTTCATTTTAAACACTATCATTTGAATCTTGTGAAAATTTATATTTTTTGTAAAATTTAGTAGTTATATTTAATTTTATATTCCTTTTTTTCCCCACTTTTAAAACATCTACATTGGGAAATTTTCTGCTAAGGATTTATTTTTTTATTTTTATTTATTTTTTTTTTATTGTTCTGCCAAAGATTTGCATGTTTGAGGGGCAAAGAGTAGGATCTGGATTATAGGGAGGGTTGAAGGACTATTAAATTTTTACTTTCTATACATTTAAATAGTGTAAATTTTTCAAAATGAGAATGCATTTAAAATTTATATTTTTCACACACATATCTTAGGACGATTCCTTTGCAGTCTGAAGTCTTAAGACATGGAGGTGTTCACATATATATTTTTAAAATAATAGAAGCTGGCCAGTTAGCTCAGTTGGTTAGAGCTCTGTGTAATAACATCAAGGTCAAGGGTTTGGATCCCCATACCAGCCAGCTGCCAAAAAAAAAGAAAAATAAATAAAAATACAAATGATTATTAAAAATCAAGCTTGGCTTGGGTTTTTATGTAAATTATTCAGATTGAGTTTTGTAGCTAAAATGACCTTTTTGGTAGCTAAGTCAGCATATGTTACTTTGAATACCTCTTTAGCTTATGTCAGTTTATTGAACAGAATTGATTATTATATATTCTGTTCATACACATATAAATAGAAAACCTGGCAATTCGCTAATGCAACTTTTAAATGTCAGTTTTTTTGAAATGTCTCATCCTTTTACCAAGATTAGCTTTCAGTAATTTTCTGTTCTGAATTTAGATATTTTTTCACTTTCAGTGGTTGGTTCTGCACGTGCACGGCCTAGTCAACTTCCTGAACAGTCTTCCTCTGCACAACAGAATGGTAGTGTTTCAGATATATCTCCAGTTCAAGCTGCAAAAAAGGAATTTGGACCCCCTTGTATGTAAATCATGTATCAGGATTCAATCATTTTAGACATACATGTACTCTCTCTTGGTCATCTTTATTAAGTCCCCAAATACTAAACAGTCTAATTACAAACTTGATTGCAGATTTCATTTTACCACTGTGGAAAATTTAATTTTTTCTTATTTTACTCTGCTAATTGGGTTTTTAATTGTATTTTTCAGAGAAAAATTTTTTTGTGAAATTATAACAATGTTTCAGTTGCTTTGAATTTAAAATTCTGGGCAGATGATAATTTGTCAGATGTTATAGAAGAAAATCTTGTGCTCCTTGATCCTTTGGATTCAAAGATCTGTGACTCTAAACCAAGAGATGACATGTAGCAATATATTTGAGTCATTTTTCTGGACTCTCATTTGTATCTTGTCCTGTTCCTGGTTTTGATAAAGCAGCTCAAAAGTAAAGCTCACATAGTTGTGATAGGCATGCTTTGTCATTGTATACCATTTTTTGTGTGTATGTGGTGAAATTATAAATAAAATTTTTCATTATAAGTACAGTACTCTAAAAAGAAAACTATACTTCTTCCTCTTATCTTTTCTTTCAGCACGCAGAAAATCTAATTGTGTGAAGGAAGTAGAAAAATTGCAAGAAAAACGAGAAAAGAGAAGACTGCAACAGCAGGAACTTAGAGAAAAAAGAGCCCAGGTTTGTAACAAACATAGTTTATCAGTGAAAGTGATTGACTTGTGAAAAAAGAGTTGATTCATTTAAGGAACTTAAAGAATTCCTTAAATTGATATTGAAGAATAATATAAACTCTTGTAAAAATAAGTTACTATAACAGATTTTTACTTCATGCACTTTTCCTATCTTAATTGGGTGTTAGCCTCAAAGTTTGTTCCATTATCAATAGTAAGCCATTGTGTTACAGAATTCTAATGTGTATATTTTAACACTCAAGAATAATAGCCTTTTGATTTTAAAAAAGACATAAAAATACATCTGGAAAAATATCCAGTTAAAATACATGATTGCAGTATAAATTTTATTGTTTTTTCATGGCTGATAAGTTTAATATGTCATAGGTAAAGGAGGGAAATTCCTTGCGTTTTGATTTATACTAGGTATGAGGGTCTCATGTTCCATTCGAATGGTAGCAAAATTGTTTAATAACAATTGAAAAATTGCATAGAGGACTGGTCTTTTATCCCTCTACAGGTCTTCTCATATTAGAAATTTTATTATACGTATAACTCCTCCATTGTTCTTGTATCTATTATAGTCTCAGAACAGATGCCACCTGGTGTTTCCATTGGGTACTTTATAATATTTATGCATCTCTTTGTGATCTCTTAATTCTCATTTCACATTCTGCTTCTCAGTTGATATAGTTGTTATTATTTCCTAGAAGATTAATTGAAAATAAGTTTTACTAACAGTTTTGAAATTTAGTTATATTGAAAACAAATCCGAATATGATGTATGAAAAATATCTGACTTTTAGAAAGTTCAGTAATTTATTATGAATGGCTAGGAGAGGTTATTGATTATGATGTATGAAAAATATGATGTATGAAAAATATCTGACTCTTAGAAAGTCAATAATTTATTATTAATGGCTAGGAGAGGTTATTGATTATTGATATTTGTATTTTAATCTGAATTTCTTGGTTTTGAAGCATAAAAGTTATTCAGTAATGCAGTCAATTATTATATCAGTGACTGTATTCAATTATTTATTTTAAAGATTTTTAAAAATTATCTCCGCTTTTGATTTCTTTAAGTTTTATGTCTTATTAATTTTGGGCTATTTTATCATGCCTTAGTTTCTTTTTAGAGGGTTAACAAAAAAGGAAATAACATAAATGAATTCGTAATTCTCCTTTGCTGAAACACTGGATTAAGAAATTGGATGAATTTGTTTAAATGAATTTTTCTAGAATTTCAGCTTTTCTAGAGCTCTTTGCCAGTGATTAAGATGAGCACTATTTCTGTTTTTTCTTTATTTTCTAGGATAATTAAAGTATATGTGTAACAGATGGATTTTTGAAACAGTTAAATGTTCCTTTAATGAAGAGTGTTTGGTTTGGAGCAAACAGGATACATGCAGACTAACAGAATGTGTTTTTAATAAGAAAGTGATTCTGAACATATTAAATTTGAACTCTGAACCTATCAGTTTGGGCTTGGTTATGACAAATGATACAATCTTTTAATTTTATTTTTCAGGCCATATATAACATAAATGCAACAAAGATGACATGGTTGTAATTATAATAAACAGTGAATTTTCTCTGTTTCCTAATAGGATGTTGATGCTACAAACCCAAATTATGAAATTATGTGTATGATCAGAGACTTTAGAGGAAGTTTGGATTATAGACCATTAACAACAGCAGATCCTGTAAGATTCTTTGTTTGTGATTCATTGTGCTGGATCTTTTTATGCTTTAAATGAAAACATTTAGTGATACCTACTAAATTCATATTGTAGTTTTTTCAATCCTTATGGATGCTCATTCCCCACATTTTAAGAAAATCAAGAAAAAATCCACATTTAGGCTCATTTTTCATAATTTGTTCCCTTTTATTTATTTATTTAATTATTTTTTTGGGTGGCTGGCCAGTACAGGGATCCAAACCCTTGACCTTGTGTTATCATTTCTCATAATTTGATATATGAGACATGCTGTCCACAGAGATGTTCTTTTCAAAGCAAAGCCTCCCTGTCTTTGGAAGGACAGAGCAACAGTTAAAGGAGTGATGGCAGAAGACCCAGTTTCCTTTCTTGCCATCACTTGTGCTTTGATCTCAATTCCAAGCTTATTTCCTCTTTGGCTTGGGCAATAGATCCCTCTATTATTCCAATTTATTATTAGTTTATTTGTTATTTTTAAATAAATATTCTGGCTTTTAACAATACATGATGGTTATCGAGGGCAGCAGTGGATCAGAAATCTAGTGCTAGAAAAGATGTTCTGCTTTTATTACTCAATTCCTTTCCTGTTGAAGAATGAGAATTTATTGGAAAGGGAATACTTCGTAAGTAACCGACACTTATGAAAAATAATCCATCTGACCTAGAATATACAGAATGTGTTAGTTACAAAAAATTTATTTGTGTTAGGCCAGAGGTATTATATAGTATTTAATAGAATTATTGTCTAGAACGTATGTATCCCATGTGTTCTAGACCTTGCTACCTTCCATGTGTTTCACTGCTACATCTAAGTTCATGCTTCATGACAGGAATTAGCAAACTTTTTCTGAAAGAGGCCCAATAGTAAATACTTTTAGCTCTATGAGCCAGTATGGTCTTTGTAACAACTATCAATTTTGCCATTTTTTTGTAAAAGCAGCCATAAATGCATAAACAAATGGGTATGACATTCATTTCAGTTGATGTGTTTCCATAAAACTTTACAGAAGCAAATAGTGGGCCAAATTACTTTGCCAATCCCTTCTTTATGTTAACTGTTAGTAAATGGAGGCGTTTACTGGAAACATAAGTTTTATGAAAAATATTCATTTATAAGAATTGGCATATTAATAAAATCGTTCAAATTATTTTGGTCAGTAATCTTCTGAGAATCCTGTTTCTTGCCTGTAGTTATCTTAGCCAACAACTTTCCCTATAAATCAACCTGAAAATATGCCACTTCTGATAGAGCAGAAATTTTTACTTTTGTTGTATGCAGCATATCTTGAAGTGTATAAGGCAGCTTCTTAACGTGAACTTAATGCTACTAAGAACAGTAGTAGTCTCCACAAAATTATTTCCTAAGGTGATGGTTTTTACCAAATAGCGAAATAAGCAAATTTCCATTACACTCAGAATTGTAGAAATAATTGTCTGATAACCATTAAAATTTGTGCAAAGCAAATTTGTTTTTTAAGCTTACCTATCATATTTATGATATGTATAAATTCCTAAAACCTTTGTAGGAAATATTACATAGTTTATTTTTCAGTGTTTTACATGCCACCGATAATCACTAAAATAAAAAATAAATGAATTTTTAAAAAAATCACCGAAATAAAATGTTTTTATTCCTAGATTGATGAACATAGAATATGTGTTTGTGTAAGAAAACGACCACTGAATAAAAAAGGTATGCTTAATGAGCTCTAATGAAGGGTTGGTTTTATCTTACTTGTAGTTTGATAATAGCACAAAGCAAATTGGTTTGGAAGAATCAAATTTAAATCATTTCCTTTCATTTGTACATAACCACTATATAGAGTTCTATGGATGTGGTTGTTGGTTTGTTATTGTTCTGTGCATCATTGACATTCCTGGTTTCTCACAGATTTCGTGATTTTTTTACTTTGTTGTTGAAATATTTTGTCTTATTGAGTGGCGTATTTATGGGATATTATCTTTATATTTACAGAACTTGCTACTGTTACCTAAATTCTTACTACTTAAAATAATTTTTGTACATTAATTCAAATGCTGTGAAAATTACTTGGCATTGATTTTTATTTATTCTTTTAGAAACTCAAGTGAAAGATCTTGATGTAATCACAATCCCTAGTAAAGATGTTGTGATGGTACACGAACCAAAACAAAAAGTAGATTTAACAAGGTACCTAGAAAACCAAACATTTCGTTTTGATTATGCCTTTGATGACTCAGCTCCTAATGAAATGGTTTACAGGTAGGTAAATTTGTTTTAAATTAGAATTTTGTTCTTATACTGTATCATCACCACCCTGAAACATAGGTTGATCTTGGGATATTTCTCCAGAGATGCAATATGCTTTTTTATTCTGAGTTTAAATGAAGAAAACTTAATAAACACTATAATGAATGTTAACACTTGTTTATTTAATACTCCCTAAAATCATAGTTTAAATTGCTAACTTCTTTTTTCTTTTTTTTGTTCTTTTTGAGACCAGCCGCACCGCGCTCAGCCAGTGAGCGCACTGGTCATCCCTATATAGGATCCAAACCCATGGTGGGAGCGCTGTGGTGCTCCCAGCGCCGCACTCTCCTGAGTGCACCACGGGCTCGGCCCTAAATTGCTAACTTCTAATTAGCTTATTATATACATATTACACACCTACCATATGTATGGATAAGAAATTTCTGGAAAATGTTAACCTCTAGGAATGGGATGTGTTGAGAGGAGGACTTTTAATTTTTGCTTATTAATCTCTGTACTGGTAAAGAAATTTGAAGTACCTGTTGTTAACTGTCAATCATTAATTTGTCTAAATCTTTATTTAGCATGTACTACCACTTAAGTTGAAAAAGCTGTGTAAATGTACTTGCATTTGCCTAATTTTATCATCTTTAAACTTGGACATAGTTTTACTACATGAGATTCTTTTATGTTTATATATTCAACTTATTAACAGTTCAAAATTACATGTATCATATATTGATATCCCAAATTTTGTATGCCAAATTCAGATTTTTCATACATCAGATTGCAAACCTTCATTTCTGGTAATTATAACTGATTAGTTTTAGCAGCATTGCAATTTAGTCTACATAAAGCTGCCTTTGCACTTACTTGAATGCTGTGTTTTATTATCCTTTTATTTTATAAAAATGATTGGAAAACAGAAAATTAGAGTTAATAAGACTCCTAAGAATTGAAGGTGTTACAAATGAAATACTAAGATCAACTTCATTTGTCTTAAGCCAGTAAACTGGGAGTTCAGTTCTAAAGAAAAAGGACAAAATTAAAGAACGTATGAATAGAATAATGTGAAGAGTATGTTTGAAAAGGGAATTATTATTGTAAATTGTATATTTTTTAGTTTTGTCTTCCCCCTTTTTGCTTCTACTTCTGCCTCATAAGAGTTTGCATGACTTTTATAATAGTTTTCAAGAAATTGTTATACTAAAGGTATGTTTCTGTGTATGGGAGATTTGTTAAACATCCTGTGATTCACCCTGTATTTATGCTTCTGAACTTTAGCAATATTTATCCTTATCTTCTTGGCTCATACTTAACTTTTATGGATTGAGAAGTTATACAGGGAACTTCCTGAGACTTCTGGCAGCAAGATGGCAGTCTGAAGGCAGCGGCAGCGGTAGAAACTCAAGACTCGGGGGCCCCAAGGACTGGAAGAAATCACAGTGCCTACTTGGAAAGAAGAAAAGGTATCGACTTGCTCCAGCCTGACCCCAGAGCGGGCCTCTAGAAAGGCTGGAGCCGCCGCTGCTTGCAGTCGGTGACCACGCAACTCTTCACCCGCCCGCGGAAGCGGCAGTGGCATCAGCAGAGGAACTGCTGGCAGCAGAGCCAGGA